CACTTCTGTTGATCATTGCCATCCCCCAACCCCCGGACGTCCCATGAACCAATTTTAAATTTATGCATTGTCGTTCACGCCCTCTGCCTTTTGGATCAGGGAAATGTCGGGTGTCGGAAAACGAGAGACCTTCTCTACCTCCCCTACCTCCATCGCGTTGCCATCTTCCAGGGGTTTTCGAGATCTACATTGCACAATTTTTTTGTTTTCTTTTTTGACTCCGTCTTTGAATTTGAAAAATTCAAAAACTAATTTTCCTGAGGCACAAGCTGTTTGTTATTTTTTTGTTAAGAAAAACTAAGAAACTAATGTGTTTTTTTATTTCGAATTCAGTAAAGTTTTTGGATATGACCATAAGGCAAAGGTTGTTCAGTTTATTTTTCTACATAACATATTTGTTTTCCAGAATTGTTTGATTTTTTTTTTTTTTCATGGCCGTGGGGCTGTGGCCTAGGCCGCAGCCGGCCTCGGCTGCGACTGGCCGCCTCCGGGGGGTATTCATAGCTCTGGACATGCACAAAAGACAAAAATCATGGAGGTGTTTCTTTCCATGTTGTAGCAGGAGATTTTGCACACTTGGAGAGTAGTGGAGCAAGCCCATATGTTAGGGCCTGGCTGCACTAGGCTCCATACGCCAAGTCAGACTGCTCGCCACACCATCTGGCATCTACGCAAGTTGTGGAGAGTGTTTTGGGTTTCCCCGCCTGTGCACTGCGGTTTGGGTGGTCGTCCGACCTCTCCACAAAACAACTTTCTGGAAAGTGCACGGCTTCACGAGTCGAGGTAAGGTAGACAATTTCTTTTTACTTTTCTGTACTCTTAACTTCTCTGTAGAAAAAGAAATATTGTGGCAAGTAAGTGCAACCAGGCCTTTAGTTCGACACGATTCTCATTTTTCGCACTCTCCACCCATCCGCCACAAATTGTGGCAGATGGAGAGTACTGCACTAGGCCCTGACTCTTAGGCTAGAACATGGAAAGATACACGGCCATGACTTTTGTCTTTTGTAAACGTGGAGAGTAGTGGAGCGAGGCCCTTTGTCTGTTGGGAGGAGGCCAGCGAGACAGGGCCTCCTTGCTCCAGTACTCACCAAATGGGCAACTAGAGAATGAATCTCCCGCTAGATCATGGGAAGATACACACCCATTTTTTTTTGTCTTTTCTGCACCTGGTGAATAGTGTAGCCATGCCCATGGCCTGCATTTCAGAGCAACAAAAGGGGCTCATTTACAAACCCTTTGTTCGCTTCTTGCTGCTTTCGGCCTTTTTTTTTTTTGGTTTATTGTCGCTTTTTGTTTTCTCCTTACTTTTTTTCTTCTTTTTTTTTTCGTATCTCCTTACTCTTTTCCAATATCTTTCCTGTGATAAGGGAGAGCAGGGAAAAAAAAAGGTCTTCGCTTGTTAACGTGGGGTGCTGCATCTGCACCAGATTCATTTTCCAGTAGACTGTTCTAGCCAAATGGGAAAAGTTTGGGCGTGCCAAACCAAAAAGGTTTCCGCATGGGCGCTTTCCACTAATTATCCCGTTCCTCCTAGTTTCTCGCCGTGTTCCTGTGCGACGCTCCTTTGACCTCAGGGCAGGAGTTGTGCCGTAAGGACAGACCGAACTGTCCTGCTTCTCGTCATCATTTTCAATCTAAGACTTCTGCCTTCTTCTCTACGCAATTTTTTCATTCGCGTCCTCCCTTCCTAACCTCTTGGTATGTGTGTGTATGTGTCTGTTGTCATGTTCGCTATCCACAACTCCACATAAAAGGCATAACTGTGTCCGACTGTTTCCTCGGCCTTTCACCGACTAGTCACACACACACACACACACACACACACACACACACACACACACACACACACACACACCGCGGGAGAGAGAGAGAGAGAGAGAGAGAGAGAGAGAGAGAGAGAGAGAGAGAGAGAGAGAGAGAGAGTGCGTGCCCCTGTTGTAGTGGTGGTTGTTTTTCTTTTCTTTGTCCGGGTGTCGAAAGAACTCAGTACTTTTATGGGGTAACTTCAGTAGAGTCACAAAAACGAGTAAAGCTGGGTTGTAAACATTGCCCAACTGCAATTGCAAACTGTATCTTGACCCGTACTGTGATTAAAACTCATTTTTGTGACTTCCGCATAGTTTTTCCCTTCCCAATTTCTGTTCGTTTGCTGTCGTCCGGCCCAAGAACCCATGTCTGTGCAATAACGGTCAGAGACCATGCTTATGGTTACACATGCGGCTCGAAGAAGATTGGTCATGGCAGCTTCTATGCTGTGTGACAGCGCTCTGAGACCATGCTTATGATCGTGTTAATCCATTGGGGCAACTTGAAGAACGTTTATGTCAGAACAGAGTTTCAAATGGGCAAAGTACGGAGCGACAGCATTAATATTATGCGACAGCACTGTTTTCTTTGCCTTGGCAAAGAAAACGGCTGCCGCCAAGCTGCCCAGGTTCAGAAAGGCAATGAAAGTACCGCGGCCGTGGTGTCAGGCCGGGTGTCATAACTACAGGGGTCGGCCTGTGTGCGTCGGGCATTGGCAAGTACTACGTATGCGTTCTATTCAAAATTACGGATTTTTTTTTTTTAATTTTTAATTTTAAGTCGAATGCAACGCATAGGAGTCATGTTCGGGAGAAGACGGTCCCAGCAAAAAAAAAAAACAGAAAAAAACTGTGTCATGCAGAAAAGTAAACTGAACAACTTTTAACTCAGGGTCACAAATAATCCTTATTATTATTTTTTCTTAATTCGTTTTTTGCCCGGCCGGGCAAGTGGTCCCGGGCCACTCTGGTAGCCTAGCTGCAAACTAAATAAGTTGGTTTACCTACATACTACCCTACTATGTGATCTACCTACGACCGTCTTCCCTCTAGCATAACGCATATGGGTCGTAAAATATACAAACGCATAGGTTGCTTGTTATTCAAATACAACGCACATGCGTTCTATTCGAACAGCCCTCGTTTTCGTCTACACAGGGGATTTTTTTTTGAAATTTTAAAGTCGAATGCAACGCAGAGGCGTCATGTTCGGGGAAAGACAGTATCAGTTTGGCAAGACTACTGATTGTTTCCCTCCGTTTCTTTTTGTTTGATTTTTTTTCTTTTTTCTTTTCATGTACTATGGAAACTCTGATGCCACACTTCCTGCCGGCACACACTGACTAAAAAATTGTTGTATTAAAAAAAAAAAAAAAAGTTGTTGTTGTACAACCGCCTCTTACGACTACGGGTCCCTAAAAAACGGTCTGTGCAGTTTGACAACGATGATATCCCACGGCTGTCGCCCTCTCCCCTCACAACTCACAACCCACAACCCACAACCCACAAAAAAAAGAAAAGAAAAGAAAAGAAAAAAAAAAGCAATTTTATGGTTTTTTGGAGTCTGCTTGGCAGTGCCTGGGGCCTGGACCCACTCGCGAAGTATTCTACGACGTGTGACACAGTTTTATGGTTTTTTGGAAAATACAAAGTGATTTTCTTATTGATTTTTTATTTGCATGAATGGATCGTTTTCTGATTTAAAATGAATTCAAATAGCACATAAAACTATGAAGAACAGCTGTGCACCCGAATTCATGGGTGGGCACGGTCTCCTTCACGTTTAAGTCTTCACAGTGATGTACCATGGCAATAAAATGTGTCCACGAACACCACAGCCACCAGGATGAACAAGTGACAGGTATGGGGATACATTCATCCCCATGTATCTCATGATGCCTCTAACAGGCCATCCTACAGACGTGGAGGCATTCCTGTCAGATCCACCACAATATTTGAATTCCCCATTTCAAGTTCTATTTCTCAGAGTCAAAAAAAAAAAAAAAAAAGGAAGCTGGAAACGCACCCCCCCCCCCCCCCCCTTGCCCCCCTCTGGAGTCCATAAAATCCAGACTTCCCGCCCATGCAAAAAAAGCCACTAGCTATCATGTCCAAATTTGTTTTCTTTTTTTTTTGTTTTTCGACGCATCTCATTGGACGGAGGTGGGCATCTTTACAGTCCCCGCTCCGAAACTACCAGGCCGTCGAGATCCGATGTATTGGATGGTCGTACTGCGTCACTTGAGGCCACACGTGATCGAAATCCTGAACGGAGTGGTAGAATACTTCTTGGCTAATGGGTCCTGCTTGCCCCTGGGGCAAGGTACCACTTGCGCAAATTAGGAGATTTCGGCCGTTGATCTTTGCTATCTACGGTCAATATCTCTTAATTCGTGCAAGTGGGACCTAGCCCCTGCTGTGTGAAAGATTGAACACCCATTTGATTTATTTGGCTTCTGAAAACAACTTGTCTTATGTCTGCCTCTTCTGTGTTTGCTACTTAATGCAGATTTGCGACCAGGCTGCGGTTGCCTTGAGTTCTCTCTTCTCGTGGAAGCTTATGAAGTACTGTTACAGTGATCCGTGGTTGTCGCCGGAAGCCGCAGCTTTCTTCTCTTTTACCCGTCGCGGAGTGTCTGGACCTGTACACAGCTGCACACACCGAGGCACACACATACAGATCGACAGACGGACACACAGAAACATATTATCCCCTTCACTTTTATTTTATTTTTAATATCCCTGTTGTATGAGACGGCCTTGCATGCTTTCAGTCAGTCGCTAGCCTGGGGAAAAACTAACTGTGGGTGACCGAGATGAGTCCGTTGGCATGCAGGTAAAAATAGAAAGAGCGGGGCTGTAGTATAACAGTTGACGTCTTTGTAAATTATACATCACCGTGATCTTGAAACCCCCCAATGGCATTCGGATCCGTTAAATGATCTCTTTCATAGGAGTTGATTCGGATTCAAATTGAGGTCTGTAGACTCTGTACTGTAATTTTTTTAACGGTTCTACTGAGCTACTACGCCCAGTGGTAGAAAGTACTAGAAACCCCATGATGATTCCTCGTTACCTGAATCTTCTTAACTTCTAGTACGAACTTACCGAGGTAAATACTAGAAGATATTAGAAGATATTAGAAGATATAGTACTTGGTAGTAGGCTGTGAGACTGCCCATTCCAGTGGCCCCAGTCAAGTCGCAAGTTCATTTCGTTCTTATAGATTTTTCTCTTTTCTTCCCTCCTTTTGTTTTCTTTACGAAGGGACAAGCTTCCTCTCTCTCTCCCTCCCTCCCTCCCTCCCTCCTTCCCTCCCTCCCTCCCTCTCACGTTCTTCGCTGTCTTCCATCGTGAGTTGCATCGAAGGTTGTGCGCTGATCACCATCATGATGATGTCTTCAGCTCGACGTGCGATGTGTAACGATGGCACAGCGAGAAAGTGGCTATGGTGTCTGAACAGGAGGACTGTTATTTTGTCCTTGTGCTTCTTCTTGACTGCTACTACTTCATGGGGGACCTGTAGTGTGTCTGCCCACATTTTGGCGTCTGATCTTGTCCCGGCAGAGTGGGGATTGGCTGCAAATACGCCTGCTGCTAATGCCGGTCAGTCTTTCTGTCGCTTCACCAACGACTCCACTCTGCCTGCTACCGCCATGCGCAAACAGTTCTGCTGCAATGTTACCTCCCATCTGATTGATGACGTGACGCAAATCAACATCTACAAAGCGTCGGCTAACGAAACCGGAGTGCCGACGACTGGCTCTGTGATAGCGCTGCCGACGGCGAACGGCGGTGTAACTCTGCAAATGCACACCCCTGTGTTCGTTGGCTGTGCCTTCAACATCAGCTGGGACACCTACAAGTCCGTGCACGATGAGGTGGAGAACTACCTTCTTGTCGTCTCCACAACCAAGAACACCACTGGGGGTTTCAAGGGCCAGATGTATGATGGACCCGGAGAAATGCCTGCTAATGGACACTACGACAGAAATGCTGCTGGTGGCGATAGTAGTCATGCTGGGCACACTGCGGGAGCACCACCGGCAGGAGAAGCTCTGAAAAACGGTGTCGTCAACCAGAAAAGGCTGCCGACAATCGCCACGTGGGTCACCGTGGCCTTACTCGTGGCCGCCGCTCATCTGCAGCAAATTACCTTATGAAGTGTATTGCTTGTTTTGGTTTGGACCGTACAAACGGACTCGACGCCGATGCATCAACACGACCCACCACCACTCCCAAGGAAAAGGTGATGCTTCAACCCGGTGCGAGAAAAACATGTGCGGTGAGGAGCTCCCTATAACCTACCTTACTTAGAGGGCAGACTCACACTAGGCACTCAAAATCGCAGAATCGCAAAATCAGCGGCCACATCCTGTCCCCCTAATAGAAGAACGAGATCTGGCCGTTCATTTTGCTATTCTGTGATTTTGAGAGCCTAGTGTGAGTGTACTCTTTGTACGTGCCATGGGTGATGTAGCTCTTTTAAGATCGCTAATATAACTACTAAGTACGTACCATGGGTGCTGTAGCTCCATTGCCATATTACGACGGGTGCATAGATTGATTGACTCAAGTGGAGAGATAGGGGAGCTGAAACCCTGCTCCAGTAAAATTGCACCCTTCTCCTCTGATATCTCTATAGCCTACTCTGTCCATTTGTCTGGCTTCTTTGCTGGCTTACATGCCAGGTCCTTTTTATCTATATAAACAGAGCTGAGGCCTGTTTTCATGTTCTTCTTTTTTCTTTTTTTCTTTTCTTCTTTTTTTTTTTTTTTGGGGGGGGGGGGGGGGGGGGGAAGGTGGGGGGGAGGGGAGCAATGGCGGCTGCGGCACTAAGGCTCAAAAGCCGCTCAAAGGGGTTTTGAATACTAGGCAAAAAAAAAAGTGCGCTCCGGCAAAACAAACGGCTACCGAGTTGGAGAGGGTGATGAAAGCACTGTGGCTGTGACAGAGGCACGGGTGTCATAACGACAGCGGCAGGCTGTTGTGCTAGACGGGCAAGGAAATATATATTGCGAGGGTTCAGCCTCCTGATGAGTTGGTGAAACTGCAACTACACAGTTTGTCACAGCCCTTCGTTTGTTGTCCTCTTCTCCCTCTCTGCCTACGGTGTACCG